AAAAATTATTTAGAAATTATTAATCTGAATATAATAAATTTTTCTGTAATGAATACTAGATGTAACAGCTTTTCTATAATGAACTTTTGTAAACTACTTAGAAATCATCCATTATAGAACAAAAAAAAATTTATATAAAGCCAAACAAGCAAATAAAACTTACTTATTTTCATTTTGTGAACTAAAGGTTTGATTATCAGCTGAACCTGAAACTGTGTCAAACTCTATAGTAGGATTGCTTGGTGTTCAGTAAAAAAAAAACATTTAGAAAGTATTAGTTATAGTTGGTTTATTTGAACTAGCACTAATATTGTCAGTCGAAATTATTTAGATATTTAAGCATTTAGGCAAATTGAATTTAGACAACTTCAACTTTGGCATTTGTTTTAAAAGTTACTATTAAAAAATAAAGTTAGACATTTAGGTAATTTAATTTAAACAAATTTTGACATTAACAAAACAATTTTGACTAACAACATTAACCAGCACCCTATACCAAAACATTATCTGCAGCCGAAAAATTTTTGTACTGGCAGTAAGTTAGATGAATAATGCCAAGCAAATAACTATTAGTATTCACCAGATCATCACAAAAGCTAAAAATAATTCTGATATAACGAACTCAAAATTTTGATATTTCATAATAAATAGTTCAGTATAAAAGGTATTACAGATTAAAAAAACAAAGCAATTTCTATAACAAATTTTTTGGCTTTCAGAACCATCAGAAGAGTTGACTGTATTTAACATACAATTGTTACCTTTAGATCTCTTACTAACCTGTCGATATCTTGTTCTATATGATTAAGTAATATTGTGTTCAAAATCTGCTCAAAAGTATTGTTTTCCATCATATTGCGTTCTATTAGTTCCTTTATTAACACAATATTTTCTTTTCGTTACTACAACACTATTAACACATAATAAATTGTCTAAAGGTATGAATTTCTACTTACTTTTCTTTTTTATAAAACTTTTTTATCGCTTTCCGTTTTTCTCTTTCTATTTTTTTTTTTTTGATTTTGCTCAAACCTTAATACGTGTTATGTTTCACGGCGAATCGACAATAAGTGAACGAATATATTAGATACCTGGCACAAGCAAAAGAAAATTGATCATTGTTCGATCATTATTTATTTATTCATTTAAACGTAATAATGAATGACTCATTTATCCGTTTTAGTTGTAACAATAAATGACTTATTTACTCATCATTACATATTATACAAACAATGTACTGATACTTGCACGGCCATAAACATATAATTAATGTGCTTTTACAAATATAGATACATCTTGTTTTATCCTGTATACAATTACTTTTACAATTATTTTCTTTGTTTTTCAACTCCGCATATTATTTCTGGTTTAATTTGTGGTCTATATACAATTACCATCATCGTATAGCAATTTTTTTTGCTTATTAACTTAGTTTTTATTTTTATTTTTATTTTCTTTTAATTATTAATTTGTATATACATAGTTACAGATAATTATCACCTATAGTGTAAATTAGTAATTATTTTTAATAATAGCTAAAAAATTGGTTAAATTGATTAAATTGGTCTATTTGCCAATCCTGAATATAACATGATCAAGAAATTTTAAAACAACTGTTTATTTTGTTAAAATTACTTATTTCTTAAAAATTTGTATAAAAAACTACTTTGGTACTTTAACAAAAAATATTCTATGGGTAATTTTATTATATAATTATCAAACTTCTAACTTTCTTCTAAATGTTAACCCTAACATTAATAAATTTTAAAAGATTTTGCTTGTGCTATATGATTGACAAAATCTGATACAG